CTTGCTGTCTTTATTCCCCAATGTGTCTTAACTGACCCAAACTGGAGACCATGTTTGTGCCAGTTATTTGCATACACCTCTTTAACTTCAGACCAAAGGCAAAGTTTCAAAGCTTTACTGAAAAACGTAATCATAGTAGATGACAACAGTAACAGTTTTTCCCTAGACATCTCTAACTGCAGCGGCTGTCCCAGAATACCTGCCCAGGCAAGAGTCCATGATGACAGTTCTCTAGCAGCTGGTAGCTTCAGGACAGACTACATGTCCCAGCAGTCCCACTACATAGTGGAAGGCTCTTGAGTGTGGGCGAATGACATGACAACAGAAACAGAACCTAACAGCGGGCACTTTAGAGTGGGAACAGCTCCCTCTCTCTCCAACATCTTGCTGGCGGTCTGTGTCTTATTTCCCATGCAGCAGACTGTATGTCTGGGCAGAGCTCTCCCCCTTTTATTAACAGCACAAGGAGAGAGGCAGAGCCCAGAAAAGTGTGGGAAACAGAGTAAACTCTTTCCCTTCCAGCTGGGGCAGCAGCTGTCTCATTAGCCAGTGTTTCAACCATGGCTGGACTTAGGGGGGTGTTGGGGTTGGCTATGCCCCCCAAATTTAAGCTGCGCCTCCCCCAGGCTTACTTTATCCAAGATAAGCTGTCTGCAATGGCTCACATAGCCCAGACAGCACACTTCCCCCTTCCCTGCATTGACAGAAGAGAGGAGATCGATGTACACTGCCTCCTCCCATCCCTCTCCTCCTGTCTACCCTACCCACATTCCAACTCCTAACCAGTGCTAAGCCTGAAAAGATGTGTGGGCATGAAATTTCAAGCACTGCAGCTGAGAATTACATCATGGCTGCACAATCGATTCCTCTGCCTGAGCCTGCAGAGACCAACCTGGGTGAGTGAGCTGAGCTCAGCACTACAGCTGAACTCTCCCCATCTCCCTCCTTCTCTCCCCCCTCCATCTCCCTCCTTCCTCTCTCCCCCATCTCCCTCTTTCTCTCCCCCCTCCATCTCCCTCTTTCTCTCCCCCTCCATCTCCCTCCTCCATCTCCCTCCTTCTCTCCCTCTTCAATCTCCCTCCTCTATCTCTCTCCTTCCCTCCCCCTTCCATTTCTCTCCTTTTCTCTCCCCTCCATCTCCCTCCTTCTCTCCCCCCTCCATCTCCCTCCTTCCTCTCTCCCCCATCTCCCTCTTTCTCTCCCCCCTCCATCTCCCTCTTTCTCTCCCCCTCCATCTCCCTCCTCCATCTCCCTCCTTCTCTCCCTCTTCAATCTCCCTCCTCTATCTCTCTCCTTCCCTCCCCCTTCCATTTCTCTCCTTTTCTCTCCCCTCCATCTCCCTCCTTCCTCTCTGCCCCATCTCCCTCCTTCTCTCCCCCCTCCCATCTCCCCCCTCCATCTCCCTCCTTCTCCCCCCTCCATCTCCCTCCTTCTCTCCCTCTTCTATCTCCCTCCTCCCTCCTCTATCTCCCTCCTCTATCTTTCTCCTTCCCTCCCCCTTCCATTTCCCTCCTTTTCTCTCCTCTCAATCTCCCTCCTTCTCTACCCCTCCTCACAGATTCTGTTCACTCCCCCCTTAAGACCCTCCCACTGGCCAGCCACAGAACTTCTTTCTCTGTTCTTTCCCAGGGTGCACCATGTCTTTCATAATCCCAGTCTTGCTCACATTTTGTCATCCTGCTTTGACTTTTTAATTGTAAAGCCAGTCAGATTACTCACTATAAGTATTGTTAATATTGTCAATGTTTACATATTGTTTATACTGTTTAGAGGCTAAGTTTTCCTTTAAAAACATATATGTCCTGCGCACTGCTGACCCCTGTCCACTCTCCTTCTGACTAACCGTCCTCTGCCCTGCTGACCCCCTGTACACTGGCCTACAAATTGCTGAACCCTGTAATACACTACAATACTGACCCTTCTCCTCCACTTTGCTGATTGACCATCCTCTGCCCTGCTGACCCCCTGTACACTGCCTTACAACTCCTGATCTCTGCCTTTTGCTCTGATAATTCCTGTCCTCTACAAAAAATTGCAGCGCTTGAGTGTATAATACAGGGAATTAACATGAATAGCAGATTTAAATGTTCATATTTCAACATGCACCAGATTCCACATTCTTAAATTGTTGTAAACAGTAATCAGATAAGTAATGAAGATCTATCCGACTAATCAAGGTGCATATAGTGATGGTGATGTTAAAATCATAAGTTCTGTGATGTATCCAAAAAATCCGTGACTTCCGTGATAGGGGAATGACTGTATAATGCACTAACCAGATAGCGCAAGTACATGCGCATTGGAGTATAATGACCTACTCCTGGTCACAGCCAGATGGTCCTCAGCGTGAAGCCCTCAGGAACACCAGTGCACCACTCTTGCCATCTCCTACCACCAGGGGGAGTGCGCCTCTTTACAGTAATGTCCAAAAAGCTTTGATAATGTGCCATTGCCACGAAACGCGTTAGGTTTAAGGACACCTCTCACACCATTGATTATCCACTTGTTTCATGCATCTGACTGTCGGCCATCTTTTTGGATTCTATGCATCAGCTTTTTGGACATTACCATGTAAGTGTATTACTTACTTTTTACCTTTGAATAAAATACTACACTATCAAGATTTCTTTCTTTTGGGTCTTATTGCTGAGCCCCTGAGATGATCTCCTGATAAGAAAGTACACCAATCCTGGCGATAGAGGATATAAAGTGATTTCGTGTTACTGTAAAGAGGCGCACTCCCCCTGGTGGTAGGAGACGGCAAGAGTGGTGCACTGGTGTTCCTGAGGGCTTCACGCTGAGGACCATCTGGCTGTGACCAGGAGTAGGTCATTATACTCCAATGCGCATGTACTTGCGCTATCTGGTTAGTGCATTATACAGTCATTCCCCTATCACGGAAGTCACGGATTTTTTGGATACATCACAGAACTTATGATTTTAACATCACCATCACTATATGCACCTTGATTAGTCGGATAGATCTTCATTACTTATCTGATTACTGTTTACAACAATTTAAGAATGTGGAATCTGGTGCATGTTGAAATATGAACATTTAAATCTGCTATTCATTTTAATTCCCTGTATTATACACTCAAGCGCTGCAATTTTTTGTATTTGACTTTTGATGAAGGGGGTATACGAGGTTTACCTATATGCTAGCAGCTTGAATCCTATCATATCCAGCGCTCGTTCCTCTCTTCATATAATTCCTGTCCTCTGCCCTGCTGACCCCCAGTACACTCCACTACTGATTCCTGTTTTTGCATGCTGCCCTGCTGACCTCTTATCCCCTGCCCCCCTGACATTTTTTACTGCACCCCCATATAAAACCAGCTATATCCAGCCCTAATTTCAACCTGCTTACATGTATATGTCATACACATTAGTACCCGGTTGGTGGCATATGGAGAGCAGAAGGAACACAGGCATACACTTCACACAAGATACTCTGCTGTATACTCTGACTAGTTTTACTAAAGCTTTGCCTAATGGTAGGTACACATGGATTAAAATTCAGCTGGTTCAGCAGGGACCAGCTGAATTTTCGATCTGTGCGTGGCCCCTCCATGTCCAACAGAAGTTGATACATAGACTGCTGGAAAACATTCATTTGATCAGCTGCTGCAGGGCTGATCAGTGTATTCTGACAACAGAGGAGTCCCGCTGTCAGAATACAATTACACAGTGGGGAGGATTCCTCCATCCACCTCACTTGTGTGGATGGGAGAATCTGCTAGTTTTTTTTTTTTTTTGGGGGGGGGGTTTAGTCATTCAGCCCGTCAGCTAAACGAAAAAAAAAAAAAAAAATATATATATATATATAAAACTTCATCTTCATCATGGTACACCTGTATTTATGTCAAAAGGGCTCCCCCCATACCCTCAAACCGCCCACACAGCCATGTAATTTGTTCACAGAGATTTGTGAATAAATGCACTATTAGTTCTGTTTGCCACTGATGCAGACAGGCCTGTATTGCTCAATGGAGCAAGAGTGTGGTGATCAGCGCACTCCTAGTCCTTTGACATTTCCTCCAGCTCTCTAACCGAAAGCCTGTACTTCTGTATGGGCAGAGAGCTGGAGGAAATATCTGCAGGAGCTTGTGCATTCCACCTGTGATCTGCTGATTGTTAGTACAATACTTTGTGAATAAAAGTAAGTAAAAATATGTGCATGCGTTTTTTTTGTTTTTTTTTTTAAAGGGTGAACTTAGCCTTTAATTTTACATATAGGTTTAGTGCATATTTTTTTTTTGTCATGGTAAAATTGAGCATGTTTTAAAATAATCTAAAATACAAAACTATAAAATAATAAATCAGTTTATTACATTTTATAACTCCTTTGGTAATGACGTGCACTGTAGTATTTGCTATTACTATTTAAGTACAGATATCTGCAAAACAAATGCAGTCTCACATTCAAAACTGAAATACTTGATCTAGTAAATTCTAAAATCTCAGTCTCCTTCCATGCTGCAGATTCTGTTAAATATTTAACGTTAAGTAACTGAGAGCGATGGTACTGCAGCTGTTATAACCGCTCTGAATATCTGCAATTGCTTTTCAAAATCTTTGACTTGCACTAAGCAATGACCAGCTGTTTAACCACTAGCCTACAGGACACTTATACCCCCTTCCTGCCCAGGCCAATTTCCAGCTTTCAGCGCTGTCACACTTTGAATGACAATTGCGCGGTCATGCAACACTGTACCCATATGAAATTTTTATCATTTTTTTGAGACAGATAGAGATTTCTTTTGGTGGTATTTAATCACCTCTGGGGTTTTTATTTTTTCTTAAACAAACCAAAAACCACAGAAAATTTTGAAAAAAAAAATGTTTTTTTTCTTAGTTTTTGTTATACAATTTTGTAAATAAGTGATTTTTCTCCTTCACTGATGTACGCTAATGAGGCTGCACTGATGGGCACTGATAGGCTGTACTGATGGACACTGGTAGGTGGCACTGATGGGCACTGATGAGGAGGCACTGGTAGGTTGCACTGATGGGCATTGACAGGCATCACTGATGGGAACTGAAAGGCAGCACTGATACATGACACTGATATATGGCACTGATAGGCGGTACTGACAGGCCGCACTGACGCGCACTGATAGGCGACACTGACTGGCACTGATAGGTGGCACTGACTGGCACTGATGGGTGACATTGAAAGGCAGCTCAGATGGGCACTGACAGGTGGCACTTCTGATCATCAGTGCCCTGATCATGGCACTTCTGATCATGATCAGTGTACATGTCCCCTCTGCGGAAAGCGGATTACGGGCTCTCCTCTCGAACGGTCAGCGTGACAGCTCGAGAGGAGAGAAATGCTGATAACCTCCATTTCCGTGTTTACATGTGATCAGCTGTGATTGGACACAGCTGATCACATGACCGAGACGACATCTCCGGCTCTTTCCGTGATCCGCTGTGTCTGAGGGACACAGCGCACGGGCGATCGCCACGCTGCGCGCTCCCTGAGCCGCGCATGCGCAGTGAGAATGGTAGGATGTCATATGACATCCTATCAGAACGAGAGAAACACCTTGCGCCCGTCCTTGTACTATAGGATGGGCGGAAGGTGGTTAAAGAAGTAGTAAATCTGCTTTTTTATTTATACCTACAGGCAGGGGCGGACTGACAAGTCATGGGGCCTCCGGGCAATAGGGGATTATGAGGACCCTGTGTCCTCGCCCACATCCAAAAAAGCCTATGAAGAATCCAATGAAAGGTACCAGGGGCATCTCATGGGGCCCCCTACTGACCCCGGGCCCTTAGGCAGTGCCCGAGTGCTCAAATGGTCAGTCCGCCCCTGCCTACAGGTAAGTCTATAATAAGGCTTACTTGTAGGTGCAGTAAATATCTCTTAATGTGCTCCGCTTAGGAGATAGTTACATGTGTATCAGCCGGTGACATCACCAACGCATGTGCATGGGCACTGTGCTCTCAATGGATGCCATGCTGTACATTGAGAGAGCTGTGCCATGCCCATGACTCTTGCGTGCATGTGTGGGAGTGATCCGGTGCCCGCTGTGTCCGGAGCACTGATCGCTGAACGGGACCTCTGTGTGAGGTCCCTGACCATGTGATCACTGATTGGTCAATCAGTGATCACATGAATAGTAGTAAGCAAGATGTCACTTCAGACATCATTGCTTACTACATGTGAAATCTGTGAATGATCACAGAGGTCACATGGTACAGGGCTATTCACAGCAGCCTTGTACCATGTGACAAGCTGTGACCAGTCACAGTTCTCACAGTATTTCTCAATGGCTGCAAGAATGCAGCCAGAGAAAGAGGAGAAATTATTGCTTTTAAAGCCTTTATGGTTATAAAAGCAATCAGTGTAAAAAAAAAAAATCCTTATCACCCCCCACAAGTAGTACAGTGTCACTATGGTGACACTGTACTGCTAGGGTGACAGTATCTTAAAAAAAAACCATGAAAGTTTTTGAAAATTATAATTTTTAGTTATAAACTAATTTTGGTTATTTTTTTTTTCACTAAAAAGATAACTGAATAAATTTTGGCCAAGATTTATGAAGAAAGATTATTTATTTGCAAAATTTTATATAGAAAAACACTTTTTTTTCAAAATGTTTGGAATTTTTCCTTTATATAGCAAAAAATAAAAATCCCAGTGGTGAATAAATACCACCAAAATAAGTTTTATCTGTCTCAAAAAATGCTAAAAAATTCATATGTGTAGTGTTGCATGACCGTGCAATTGTCATTCAAAGTGTGATAGCACTGAAAGCTGAAAATTGGCTTAGACAGGAAGGGGGTAAAAGTGTCTGGACTTAAAGTGGTTAAGGTCCTGTCTAAATTGGCCCTAGTATGTGTATGTATGAATGTGAGTTAGTGATCTTAGATTGTACTCCCCTTAAGGGTTAGGGACTGATGTGAATGTACAATATATATGTAAATTGCTGCGTAAATTGACAGCGCTATATAAGTACCTGTAATAAATAAATAAACCCTGGCAGTTGTCACTGCAACAAGTATCCCCTTTAGAAGATCACCCTTCTATTCTTCCAGAGACAACTCAGAAGTTTGGATTTTTTCTTTCATGTTAACGCATGCATGGACTATTACCTCTCAGAAATCACAGCACTCAACATTTCTTTTTCTGCTTTTCTCCCCAGAAATATGGAGCCATCTTTGTTCAGACGTCATCCAGTGTCATTATCCATTTCCTGAAATTATAGGGCAGCTCAGAGATGACACAATCATGGAAATCCTGGGACTATGCCACTGGTTGCAAAAAGAAAATCCTGTGTGACCTACAGCTCATTGGAGTCACATCTACAAGGCTGTGGATTTCATGTAAAAGGTAAGGGATGCAACAGCTGCACAGACACAGACACTCATCCCAGTTTGACAGATGTGCGGGCAAGTGGCCTGAAACGCAGACAGTATAGACTCACGTTACATAAAAACCTGGCCCATTCATGGACTATGCGCCTCAGTGTCCATGTGAATGAGGTCTTAAAGCTGAACTCTAAGCACAGACTTTTCTAATAAATTCTTGCATAGAAAAAAGTTGCCTTGGCTTATACTTTATAAATAATCAGCTCTATGCTCTGTACTGTAAAATATATATTTGTAATTTTGTTGAAAAGTACGGTTATTGCTATACTTCCGGTGCACTGCGGGTATAGGAGCTGCGGCATTCATTCATGAAAGCAACTGTATAGTTTATCTGCCTCCCCCTTCCCTTGTCCAGTTATAGGCCGGCTTATATACTGTAAACCATTTAAAAAATACAAGGCCGTGGACAAGAAGTGGGGGGAATAAACAACAGAAATAGGGTTCATTCGCATGTGCAGTGTTCTCTGAAGAGCAATCTGCATTGGACTGCTCTTCAGATGTCATTTGTTAGGTGATGAGGAGACACTACCTGCTGGGCAGCACAGTGGCTAAATGGTTAGCACTTCCACCTGGCAGTACTAGGGTCGTTGGTTCGAATGCCAGCCACGGCACCACCTGCCTGGAGTTTGCATGTTCTCCCTGTGCCTGCGTGGGTTTCCTCCGGGTACTCCGGTTTCCTCCCACACTCCCAAGACATGCTGGTAGGTTAATTGGATCCTGTCTAAATTGGCCCTAGTATGTATGAATGTGAGTTAGAGACCTTAGATTGTACACCCCTTGAGGGTTAGGGACTGATGTGAATGTATAATATATATGTAAAGCACTGCGTAAATTGACGGCGCTATATAAGTACCTGAAATAAATAAATAAAAATGTCACCTCCTCAGCACCTGATTTAAACCTATATGTGCCCCATCTACTACACATGCAATCATGTGTGGCCCCTATTGACTTGCATTTGTCATGTTTAGCAGTGGTGATGTCCACCAAATGCAGCATGTTGTTTGATTTTCGCTAAGACCACAAAGCACATGTAAAGTCCTGAGTGGCTGCATGCCCAGTTTCTGGTTGGGGGGAGGTAAAATCATAGCATTAACTGCCTGGTTTTACCACCCCCTAGCTGCACATGTGAACTATCCTTTACATCCTTATATGAGATCTTCAGCTTTCATACCAGCAGCACACTAGAAGTACAGAGATAGTTGTACTTTCCAGCATGAATACAAATGTGGATTTCAGAGTACAGGGCAGAAAGCTGGATCTTTATTAAACATGAGCTGAGCAATTTTTTTTCTCCACACAAGAATTTGTAAAAATGTCTGTTTCTGGAGTTTGTGATTGTGTCATAATGGAAAGTTTAAAGTTAGAAGGTTAAAAAAATATATGTGTGTAATCATAGTGTGCATTGATGCAGCAAAAAACACAGTATGGAGATAAACATCAGAATTTTTCATGCCCAGTATCTTGTTCCTACACATCTTCACGCATCTCGCTCCTCATGGCCAGATTGTATAGCGAAATACAATAAATAACTCATTTCAAAATATGATATTTGCTGAGCTTTTCAGACATAGATTATCAGGGTTAATTTGTATGTGCAGAAAAATCAGCCATGTCTAGAGCTAGTGAAATGTAGACAACCTGCCCTAGAACTGGCAAGTCTGTAAAATGACAATCATACTGATTATAGAGTAGGAGATTCAGATATGAGCAACTAAAACACAAGTGCCAGTTCTAGAAATGAGGCTGAAGGTATTTGTTAGTTTGCAAACAAAACACTTTCATCAGCCAGATAACACCCAGTAACAATGATTGTGTCTGCCATTAAGTGGCTGGCCCTTACCTTCCAAGCAGGAAGAACCACTCAGTTATGGATGAATTGGGGTAGCAAGTTTTCTGTTTTAAAGAGGAATTTCACTTTCATTAAAGGCTAATTTCCCCTTTAGAAAAATTAAATTCACATACTCTTGAACACAAAAATGTGCATTTATTTATTTTTTTACAGGAGCCTGCAAAGTATTGGAGCTGTGATCAGTGGTGCAATATCCAACTTCTGCAGACTCTTCCTACAGCTCCCTGCCTGTACCTCTGTATATGTTTTCAGTTGGAGAGCTGAAGGAAGTTTTAATGGACTACGAGTGTGGTGAACCCTGCGCTCATATTCCATTAAGAAGTACATTTTCATCTGCTGTGATGGCAGATGGGACTTGTAGTTCCGTCATTCATAGATCTCTGTGAATATATTACATGGATGTGCGGTTGGGGAGAAGAATCCCGCACACTGAAGTAAGGGTGCAATCTGGAGGGGTTTATTAAATATGGTTTTAACATATAAAATGCAGAGTTAGGTGGATTTAGCCCTTAAAGTGTTTGTAAAGGCTCAAGGTTTTTACCTTCATACATTCTATGCATGAAGGTAAAAACCTTCTGTGTGCAGAAGACTCCCCAGCCCTCCTAATACTTACCTGAGCCCCATCACGATCCAGCGATGTGCATGAGAGCCTCAGCTCTCTTTGGACTCTCCCTCCTCATTGGCAGGGACAGCAGTGGGAGCCATTGGCTCCCTCTGTTTTCAATCATAGCCAGTTAGGAGAGAAAGGGAGCAGGGCTGACCTGTAGCTGTGTGTGTGAATGAACACACAGGGCAGCAGCTTGGAAGCGAGCCTGCTGGGGTGCCCCCATAACAAGCTGCTTGCTGTGGGAACACTTGGCAGGAGGGAGGGGCCAGGAGCGCCAGTGGGGGACCTAAGAAGAGGAGGATTACTATAACTATTCTAGAGTACACTCTAGGAAAATTACTAGTTTATGGTGCAATGTCCCTGAGAGGTACCTCTCAGCATAAGCAGTAGGCACAGGTGTCTGTATAACAGCTATAAAGAGACAGTCTTCGGTACTAAGTATTCAGCCGGCTAGCGTTGGGGCCCATGAGAATAGCCCCAGTCAAACCTGAAAGCATAAATAAGGCTACTAGATGGCTGTGTGGTCAGTTCCTAAATGGCCCAGTCTCTCTAGCAGCAGCTCACCAGTCCCAGCGATATTGCAGCTCACCCTCTGGTTGCACATAGCAGTT